TTTTCTGTTTTGTTTTATTCTTGGATCGGGCTTTAAAGGGTTAAAGAAGCAATGGATGTTGAGAGTCAATCTGTAGATTCTGAGAGATTTCCAGAGATGTGTCAGAAGCTCTGGGCCAGGACTTCCTCTGTTGGGTTGGATTAGTTTAGTAGCATTAAAAAGGTGATACCTTATTCCGATATAGCTGCATGATTACCTCCTAATGGCAATAAGGAATGGGATCATAAAAGCGAAAAAAACAAACAAAAAAACTAGCAGAATGAAATCAACTAGAGCTGCAATTTACTATTATTTCATAAATCGATTAATCTGTCAAGTATTTATTTATTTTATTTTAATCAGATAGCCAAAGGTTCCTAACAAAATATTGTTTATGAAATGAAATAAGGTGAAATTAAAACTTTTCTACTTGAGGAGTTCTGGTTAGAGCAGATTGATGGATGAAAACATTTTTGTTTATCTTGGATGCAAAACGTTCAGATATTTTTTTACAATTTTGGTATAAGTACTGCTCTACGTGTGTCGCTCTGTCAGCTAAAGGCAAATTTTACCGCCTCTATACTCCAGTTAACGATTAATCAATTATTAAATTAGTGGATGATTGTTTCAATGATTGATTAATCCGATAAATTGTTTGAGCCCTAGAATCAACACAGTGCAATAGTGCTCCTATGAATTCAGAGGAAGCTAGTTAATCATATCCGTCTACATTCCTGCATCTACGAACAGAAAGAAACTGATATGATGTTTGCCATCGTTGCTGCTGTGTTTTTCCCCTGACCTTAAATATTTTTGAAACAGCTGTCCTTGGAGCCTGCTACAAAAGCAGAAATCTGTGACATTCATACATGTCAGAAAACCACTGTGACTTTTTAACAGCAACAGATAGGGACATCAGTTGCTCTGCAAACATTGAAGTATCTGTGATTTTCCAGCTGTAGTTTTAAGTATGTTTTAAAAAGCCTTCAGGCCACGTCTAGAAACATGTCAGAGGTTTTCTTGTTGTATTAACGTTTCCTTCAGTCGGTCCTCATGTCTTTGTTGCAAACTTCGTCACGCATTTGCAGAGCTGTGAGGATGCGACAGTCGCCCGCTTTGGTAATCAAATGTTGTTGCTATGGATACAACATCTGATGATGTACCCTGTTCAGGGCCAAGAGTGGGCTGGAGCCTTTCCCAGCATCCGCTGCTGTTAAGAGGAAGTTACCAACACACCGACACACGGCCTTGCAAATTCCTATCCGCTGAAGGTGTTCTCATTTTGTGATATTACAGCCACCCATTTAGGAGGATTTTACCTGGATTTATTGTTACAGACTGTCACAAAGTAGTGCATGTAAAGAAAACTTAAGATAAAGGAAATAAATTAAGTTTGACTTACATTTGCCTCCAGCCCCTCCCATATTTGTTCCTGTGAGTCTTTGGGGCCTTTTTTACTCTTTTGCACATTTTGCAGAAACAGTTGTTGGTCAATATTCTGTGTAAAATAGCTCAGTGTGACTGGATAGAAAGCATAAATAAAAATACAAGATTTTCCATAGATTAAGAGTCAGTAAGGTCTGGACTTTATTCACACTGTTTAAATGGACCAGTTCATCTTTAACTAAACCAGTTCTGAACCTTTTTTACATCAGGGCCCAAATTTTCCTTTCAGATAATAAAACTGAATTAATTAATTAATTATTATTGTTGTTTTTTGTGTAGTTTATATCTAATTATGAATTCAAATCCACTGAATTTTAAAAGTTAAACCTTGTCAGATAATAAATAAGGTGATGCAAGGTAAGAATCACAAGGTTATTGATTTATAATGTGTATGCAAAAATGCACATAAAAGAACAAGCCAAACAGGTTAAAGATTCATGGAAAAACTATAAACCGTGCATAAAAAAATTTAAAACCACCAGTCAGCCTTATTAATAGAAGGTAAAATAATAATTACATGTCCCTACAGAAGAAAAAAGACAAGGAAATAAGATAAAATTTAAGTAACTGATTAAAGTGAATACATTCAAATTCATTTTCTAATGAAATGAATAAATACATAAACTGTTAACAGAATTCAAATAAAGTGCAAATAAAATTATAGCCTTATAATCTGTGAAAAACTCGGAATTTGTTTCAGCAGTAAACTTTTTTATTTAAGTCAAAACCCAAGAAGTGATCCTTTATTTTTGAGACAGAGGAATGATGAACAGTCAACATTTCCCTTTTTTTAATCCAACAAGCTGCTACTCCCGTTGCATGTTCATCTAATGAGACAGTGGACTCTAAGATACGGTCACATCTAGTCTGGGTGAAAATAGCGATTCACCATCAATTCAATTCAATTCAGTTTATTTATATAGCGCCAAATTCACAACACATGTCATCTCAAGGCACTTTACAGTTCAACCAGATCATACAGTCAAATTGATACAAAGTTTTCTATCTAAGGAAACCAGCCGATTGCATTGACTCAAATACAATCCCTCACACTAAGCATGCTTGTAGCGACAGTGGAGAGGAAAAACTCCCTTTGAACAGGAAGAAACCTCCAGCAGAACCAGGCTCAGTGTGAGCGGCCATCTGCTGAGGCCCACTGGGGTTCAAGGATACAGAAGCAGACATAGAAAATGAAGCATAGATACAAAAGGCAACTATAAAAGGCGGCCCCGTCCAGGAAACACACAGCCAGGCAGACGAGCTCCGAGCCAGCTCCATTGTCAGAGGATGAAGAGAGCACATCCACTCAGTCACGGTCAGAGAAACAGGACCACACTGGAAAACAGGCCGATCTCCAGCATCTAACCATCAGAGTTGCTTCCAGTGTGTCTTTCTGGGGATTTGGTTTTGGCCACAATGGACAATCCTGATTCACACAAATGTAGTTATGATCGGAAGAATCAGGCAGTCACGTCTCTGTAAAGTGCCCTGAGATGACATGTGTTGTGAATTGGCACTACATAAATGAACTTAATGAATAGAATAGAAGCCGTTTTACAGCTCTCTGTGCCAGACATGGGCAGGCAATCCAAAAGGAGCCAAGGTCCAGTTTGCCCCACTGCAACTTTAAAGTGCTGTTAGTAGAAACCACCAGAAGATGGGATTCCAGATGTGAGGGCAAGGCAACACAATTTTCTGTGGATCTAAAATCCAGGTGTCACTCCGTGTGATCTTCTGGGAAATAATCATCAAATTTCTCAGTGAGCTTTGAGAGGTGCTGAGGACTGAGTGAGACAATGTGAGACAAAAGTGGAAACATGTCCATCCTATTTTCCAGGGCTCTCTTTGTCCACAAAGCAAGTTTCCTCTTCAATGGTGAGAGCAGAACAAACACCAGAGGCTGCAGATACATGCTGTGGCTTATTTATAAACTTAGGAAAGGATTTTTAAGTAAATTGTTACCAAAATGTTAAATGGCATGTACTTATATAGCGCCTTTATTCAAGTTAGGAGACTTGACCAAAGCACTTTACACTACATTCATTCATCCATTCACACGCACTGATGGTGGCAAGCTACATTGTAGCCACAGCTGCCCTGGAGCTCACTGACAGAAGCGGGGCTGCCGTACACTGGCGCCACCGGGCCCTCTGACCGCCATCAGTAGACAATGCAGATGAAGTGTCTTGCCCAAGGACACAACGACACTGAAAGTCGGAGCTGGGGCTTGAACCGTCAATCCTTCGATTTCAGGGCAAACTCCTACATCCAACGCCACTGTCGCCCCGTGGCGACAAAGTGAATCTCATGCCAACAAAACAATCCATTTAAAATTTGGTAATAATGCAGATAATGTTAGACTTTTATCTCTAGGTGTAAGTCACAATATGTGGCAAAATTAGCTACTTAGCAGAGGTCTGCGCTCTCTGAGCACTTTTGTAGATCAACACCCATCACCTGTTGGAGCTCTGGCACTGATAACTTTTTGGCTGCAAGTCTGTTCACTGTGGTGAAAACAGTGGGCCCACTTGGCTTCTGGTGCCTATTAAGTATCTGCCTGATGACGCTGTGATACAGAAGCTGCACCATCACTACAAACCCAAACTCGGTTTTTCAGTCTTTGAAGTAATTATTGTCATGATTTTACAAAGTTCAGACCCAAAAGCAGGGAACCGAACAGAGAGACCAGGGAAAAGGTTTAACAGGCTTTATTGAAGAGGTTAAATAGAGGGAGACGTGTTGCTCTGAACACCGCTCAACCAGAACTGTAAAGTGAGGGGAAGACACAGCGGTTAGTTCAGGCTCAGTGGCTACTACAGTCTGTCAATTTTACAGAAAGAATTTCACTTGCACCCCCACCATGCTTCTTTGTTTTCATCTGAAAGGAAGAAGAAGAAGAAACCTTGTTTGCGCACTGAGTGATTTGCCCACTACTACCTTACGACGGCCGACTGAATTGCAAACAAGTTTGATTTTCTCCTGACCTTACGATTCCTGATCGGGAGGTGATCATGAGAGGCTGAACGCCCCTCGTTACCCCCTGTACACTGCATGACGCACAATCAGGCTGAAAGTCGGCCTGATCGAAGAATTCTCCTATGACTGGAGAATCGGCCTGAAAAGGGCAAAAATCGTAGAGTGCATGCCCGGCTTTAGATGTCAAACAGACGTCCACTAAAAGAGATAAATAGACTGTTTCTTGTTTTGTCTTTTTACAGGTGCGGGATGGTTAATGCTGTTCACTTATGAAGAAACAATAAAAGGTTATTACAATGACTGAATCAACAGAACTGGGAACAGATGGCATTTCTCTGCTCAAGGCAGTCTTCCAAAGCCGACTCCGTCTGACTCGGCTGCTTTTAGAGGGAGGGGCTTATATAAATGAGAGCAATGAACTGGGGGAGACCCCCCTTATAGTAGCCTGCAAGACACAGCACACTGATGCACAGAGTGTTCCTAAACCCAAGATGGTTCGGTAAGTTGTCTGGCAATTCATTAACATTTTACATTACTATAAAAGTCTGAATGTTTAATGAATGTTTCCCCACCCCCCACCAGATATCTCCTTGAAAACGGCGCTGATCCAAACATCCAAGACAAGACGGGAAAAACAGCTTTGATGCATGCATGTCTTGAACAAACCGACCCTGAAATTCTGTCCCTTCTGCTGAACAGTGGAGCTGATCCAACCCTGGAGGATCGTACAGGATCATCAGCTTTAGTCTACGCAGTCAGCTCAGGGAACAGGAAAATCCTCCGGCTGCTCTTGGGTGCCTGTAAAGCGAAGGGGAAGGAGGTTATCATTATCCCTACCAATAAAATTCCCTCTGCCCCTCAGAGGATGAAACAGTACCTCAACGTTCCACCAACCCCTCATCTTGAGGAACGTCTATCTTATCCTTCAGTGTCTAGTTGTAGGTTTTCAACTGAGGCCAAGATGGAAACTCCTACACAGGCCCCCTTACCTTATCCTGCTACCCAGACTTGCAGCTCTCTTCTTAGTCTTAGTGATTCGCACTGTGTGGATGTAAGCGCCTGTAAGGTTATATCCCAAACAAGCTGTCCAAACCAACCACTTATTTCTGATTTGGATAGACGACTTTCCTTCGAAAAGGTAGACCCTGAAAAGAGAACCAAAATCTCCAGCCTGCTGCTCCAACAAAATCAAGCTTCCTCTTTAATAGAGGAGCAAGTGGAAAATGCCCATGCAGAAGAGGAGCAACCAATCAGATTCAAGGTCCTTGCCAAACAAAGAAGACCTTCAGTTGTTTCAAGGCACCAGAGCATTGATGTCAAAGATGCAACAGGTCTCCTAAAGTCTCTAGAGCACTTGTCACTAAATGAGAATGCTGAGGGAAGAAGGAAATGTCTTGGCAGAAAGATGTCATATGATAGTGCTACGAGTTCTTTGCATGCAACGTCTCACCCAAACTTGCATCAGGATAGCCTCCCTTTCTCCGATGAGTCCAGTCCAGGGGATGAAGATTGCTCTGATACTCTTAGACAGCTCAATATTTCCAGTCTACAAAATGTGGTAAACCGCAGGAACACCGGGATGGACCACTATAGCTCTGACTCACAGCTCCTGCAAGTGGGCAGTCGAGAAAGAATGCTAAAAAGTGGCGGAGCACCCGGATCAGGTCCTGAAAAGCATAAACAGATGAGCTGTAGACCCCCCACTTTGTCTGGATCCAAGGAGTCTCTGGAGAGTTCAGGCCCCAGACGAGGTGTTTCTGGCCTTGAGCGAAGAGGTTCTGGAGCCCTTCTTCTTGATCATATTGCCCACACTCGCCCTGGTTACCTTCCTCCTTTGAATCCTCACGTTCCTATTCCAGATATCGGGGTTAGCCCTAGCTTCTGCACTTCCAGTGGAAGGAGTCCCGTTTTAACAGGGACCAAGTCTGTTCTACCCAGTGTACCTGTTTTCTCGCAGGATCTAAAAGGTAAAAAACCTCTGTGGAGACGCCACTCTATGCAAAGCGAACAAATAAAACAGCTTGTGGGCTTTCGAGAAGCTTTTGGTCATTAGCAAACATTACTGTCATGACCGAATGAATATAGTATCAGCACTCTGTATGCTACTATGCTAGGTAAAAGAAAGTACGTTTCGCAATTCACAAGAACGCAAGTACGGACTTTTGTCCTCGCTAAATGTGTTCTTGAGAAGGACACAGGAAAGTATGGACTCGGGGAGAATGGGAGCACTCAGCATTAATCTGGGTCAATTGGAACAGAATCATACTGGTGAGGTCACCACAGGCTCAGCTCGTCTGGAGCTGCATTTCACCTCCTGTTATTAATAGTGTCTAGATAATAAAAATCTACTTTTTTCATTTAGTGGAGAAATAATAATTAATACAGTCAGATAAACACAAATCAAATTAACATTTTGCCAAATAAAACACAGCCATGCAGAGAGAGGGCTGCTGCATACGGGCTAATGTTAGCCCTTGCTGAGGACTGCAGCTAGAACATCTGAATTTTTTTTTTAATTACGCACTAAATCAGTAAATGGGCCATACAGTGAGGCTTAAAAGTATAATGGTATCGCCTCAAATGATCTAAAAATGTACTTTTATAGAACAACGCCAACAGAAAAGGGAACTTTTAACTTAATACTCTGAGCTCAGTGAGCGCTAGCTTGGAAGCTGCTGCTGCCGCAGTGCATGCTGGGACAGCTGTCAATCTCAAGAACGGACAAGTCTGCTCTGATGCATGCTGGGTAAAGAGGGAGGGGCGAGAACAACATCAAAGCATTTTGCGCGTTCTATGCCTTCTGGTTTTTGTGAATTGGAACAATACTAGGGATGGGGATGATGACGTTTTTCGAGCACACAAGTACATGAGAACACACAAGTACACATATTGAGAAAGTGCTTCAAGAAGACTGTCCGTTGATGTTTGAATCCTGAAGTTCTGTTTTACTTTGTGTATAGCTAAACATTTATCCTATAAGTTCTGTAAATTGGGGAAAAAAATACAAGGAGAGATCATTGTGGACCTCCTTCCTGGCTTTTCTTTTGATCATATTTTTGACCTTGATGTTTTCTGCCCTGCTGGTCTAAGCATTGTGTGGTTACATAGAAATATGAAAGCAGATTCATGTTTGAGATTTTACCAGTTGTGAACATTACATGGGCAAACTACAGAAAGCAAAAAGATGTTATGTTTTCACCTGACTGAACCCTGCTCTACAGGTAGAGATACCACCTTGAACTAAAGACCAGAGTTTAGATCCAGAAGAAATAATATGAGTAACATATAGAAACATCTGTATATTTATGGAATGTCAAAGAAGATTTATGCTACGTTCAGACCGCACGCTGCAGAAGCAGCAGAAGCAGCTAGTTTACATGCAAAATCAATGGTTGACGCGCATCAAGGTGCAGCAATAGGTCCTGCAGCGCGTTTTGAGCAGCTGGAGCAGCGTCTCACCAGCTTCTGAGCATCTAACGCACGGGATGCTCTTCAGAAGATGCAGCTGCTGGAGTTAAAAATTTTAAATTTTTGCTGCTTGACGTGTCACATCAACCAATCAGAGAAGCTGACCTGGGAGCTGGTAGGGAGACAGACACAGCACTGCTGATGCAGAGCGTAATGATCACTCCTCTGAAACTGATTATGAACAACTAAATTAACTTACATGTCAAAACCTGCAAAATATGTTTGATTTTATTATTCTGGGGCCCCCGGTTTGGATCAGGTTCATGAAAAATGCCTTTCAGCCGCCGCGACTAGTAGCGGAAAACCGCAAAGAGGCGACTGGGTCTGAGGCCGCCATTGAATGGGATTCCCAGTGACAGCGCACCGCCGGTATGTGGGAGTTTGAGCGGCTCCAACAGAGATATAATATTTAAAGGAAGGATGGTAATCTTGATAAACTGACTGCACAGATGAAGTTTTCAGGTGGACTTTCTCACTTAAAAACATATTAAAACTAATTTTTACCCACTTATAACAGCAAATATAGCAAAGCCGCTTTCTGCCATTGAACACAGAAGCATCAGACACTTCTGGACACATTTTACTGAACGTCTGACCTTAATGTGGGCCGGCATCAGAAATGAAGCAGCAGAAGCCTTTTTGCTGCTTCAAGGGCTTGCGGTGTGAACGTAGCATTATTCATTAAAATAAGCCAAGCGACTCCCTCTATTTCATCTGCCATTGTTACAGGCAAAGAAAGGATGGGGTAGCTCCGCCCATTTTTCGACCGTGCAGCAAAGATGCTTCAGCCGCGCGTCAGAACTAAACTTATACAAGCTTAAAAAATGAAGTAGCACAAACGTTTTTGCTGCTTCTGCTGCATGCCGTCTGAAAGTAGCATTAAGCTTTCCTAGAGCTTCTTTATGTTAACATGTAATTTCACATTTCATATTTGCCTACGTCTGATTCTAATAGACTGACCGGACCAAGGTTGTTTAGAACAGCACCTTCAGAAGTTGGATTCACTTGTTGAGATGTTCTGTCCACCCTCCACACCAAGACTTCTCCATCAGCTCCACACACTGCAAAAACTATCTAGAAATAAGTAAAAAAAAAATCCTAAATTAAGTATATTTAGCCATAATTTGAGAAGGTAAATAAGATGATTTGCCAATGGAATGAGTGTGTTTACTCTTAAAATAAGATAATTAGATAATATGGACTTGTAATAAGACAAAGCAATTGTTTTTTCTTATTTTAAATGTAATTTGTCTTGTTCAATTGGCAAAGTGTCTCACTAACCTCCTCAACTCAAGAAAAAATTCAATTATTTTAGGAAAAAGTGACTTATTTAGATTACATTTTTTTGGAGTGCAGCCACCTTCAGATGTTCTCTCTACCGCAGTACAGACAGTGGACACAGAACTTGGTAGACTGGTACCAGCAGAACATTCTAACATTAGATGCAGGAGATACAAAGGAACTGGTGATGGCCTTCTGCAGGCGTAGAAGCATCTCATCGGCTCCGGTGAAGATCCAGGGGACTGATGTTGGGATAGAGGATGTTCACCTGAACACCAGTGGTCTTTAGAAGAAGAAAGGAAACAGACCCTCTGGACTAAAGGGTCAAACCTATGACTTTGTGTCCATCTTCTAATTACGAGCAGCAGCTTATCTGCAGCTGACCCCTAGATGACCCCTAGACACAGAGCAGGTGGTGGGAGACAGACCGAGTAAGAAAAAACCCCATCACTGTGGGAGGGTGTCTCACATCCTCTGCATGAAGCTGCTGCTGAGCTGGAGAACTCCTTCAATGACAGACTGCTGGATCCTAAATGCTCCAGTGAGCGCTTCCATAGATACTTCCTCCCAGCTGCTGGTAATCATCTCCAAACAAACTCAGTAAGTTTTACCAAACATGCTGCTGGTTCCTCTGGTTCTTCATCTGATCCAGGACCATCTGCAATGCATCTAAGTTGCTAATGTCCATCAGCACATTTTTTCAGATTCTCCGGGAGCATTTGTTTGTACAGTCAATCTTGTATTGCTGTTTTTTGCTATTTTTTATTGTTTCAACATTGTTCTGTGAAAAGACTGCTGTCTTTAATCATTAATATTTAACTTTGCATCTTTACTCGAATATGCCTTATCTATTAATCCTTGCACAGATTTTTTCTCTATCTTTCTTTTTCTTCTGCTTTTCGGCCTATACCTTTAAATTAATATTATTTAATCTAGTGTGTTAATTCTGGTTTCTCCTATCCATGTGGTTTTGCTTCTGTCATGAATGTTCCTATTGATGTATGATAAATATATTACTATTCTATTCCAGTTGTGTTTTTCATAAATTGGTGTTTGATCAGTAGTTCCTAGTGACTAAAACGGGGCACCGCAGCGAGGTTCTCAGCTTTCCATGATATGGCCAGATATTAGTGACCGTTATTAGATCATGATACCATAACACAAAATGGTCATGCATTTTAACCACCAGTGGCGTCTATTTCGTACCTGTCCCTGTTTGCCCCTGTTTGTTTTAAAAATGATGATGAACTTAGTTAAATTAAGAATAAAAAGTTATTGTATATGAATAGTGTGTGACGTGGCTATACAAGAATTTCTGTTATATGTTTAAAACTATTTGTCTCTCATGTTATTCCTCTGCTTTTTGTCTTGCTGCTGTACATTTAGGCTGCTGGAAGACATAACGAAAATTTTTCCTCATTCAGCTTCATTCTATATTCTATTCCCCAATTCTGCATTTATTCTTAATTCAATTTCTAACTTCATGTTCTCTCCGCTTTCTTTCTGTTTATGGTCGACTGTGACACCAGATCATCTGCCAAACTGCTTCTTTCCTGCCGTTGTGTAACCTATATTGGTCTTGTGTAATTCAAGGAGGGTCTGGGTTTGGCCAGGTTACAGTAGAGTTATAGAGAATTAAGGTTTTTGGTAGTTTTCTTAGTCAATGTAAATGCAAGACGGTTTTGACTCGGCTTTATTCAGCTGCATAACTACAACTCTGCCACTGGTGCAACACCAAAATAGGTTCACAGAAACAATAGCTGTAAGGAACCAAAGGGAATGCATGAATAAAATAATCACTTGATATAAGAAAGGTGTTAATGTTAATTCATTTACTTTAGACTTAGACAACTTTTAGACTAATTTTGTTTTGTACAGCTTTTAGGACATTTCCATTCCTTAAAGTGCAGCAGTGATCAAATGTAAACAGTGTAGGAGAAAAAAAACATGTAAGAAACGCATTGATATGGAAGTTCAGAGCGTTAATATATACGGTGCAAATATGCAGTATTTGTTGTTTGGTGTTGTCAGTTTGATGCAGAGTCTGTGACATGATTAAAGTTTTTTCAACCGTTCAGCAGTTTGGTGGCAGTGGGGAAGAAGCTGCTGCAGAATCTGCTGGACCTGCATCGAATGCTGTGAAGCCTCTTCCCAGAGGGCAGCAGGGAGAATGGGGAGGCATGAAACAAATTACTGTTCCCTCCTCAAGTATTAAAACTTTTTTACAAACATTGCATGCCACGCTGTAGCTGAAGCCACCTCTTTTAGGAAGAGATATTTATCCAACCAAGTATGTGGTTAAAG